CGCAAACCATATCGACATTTGCATGACATGTTAGATTTCGAGAAACAAGTGCACATTAGATTCTGATGTTTGAGAGCTTAGTACTTAGTAAAGAGATACAAGAGTTGTATAATTCATGCTTAGAAGTTCTTAAACAAGCATCAGAAAATTATACCGCGGATACGAAGCCTCGTATTTGACAAGGAAAAAAGAGAACTGGTCCAACCCAAAAACAAGAAAAATAAGACTCCTGTTTCTGATTTGATCAAATAAGTAGAACATGAAATTTGAGGAGCAGTTGCCAGCAGCTGCAGTACACACAGGCAAATCCAATAACTGTGCCACCCGAAGAGATCTTCAGCGATTTCTGCAAAGCAACCAAGTAAGTTAACATAAATTAACGAATAAAATTCTTTCAACTGGTCATCTAGATTTCTAGAAAAAGAATGATGCTTTGATGTATCTTCAATCTTTCAAACTTGTGGTTACAGCAAAGATGGCAGAACCATTTGTGAATTAATTCAATGATATGCACATGACTAGCATGCGAAATAACCTATTGTGGAACTTGAATCCCAGTAAGTTCTTTATTATTTGGAAAAGATAAGGGACCATGGCAAAGTAATTCACAATAAGCATAAAATGGAGCCATGAATCACAGTATTGTTTTCTGCTTCTGCATAAATGGGAAAGAAAATATAAAAGGATCTGAAACAAGTAATTTAATGTTGTTATTCTCATATATATTCAGATTTAGTAAGAAAGGAACTCAAATAAATACAATAATTTGGAACTCTAGGTTGGGGCCTGAGAGTTACAACATTTTTAATTTGGTGTTCTCAGAACCTGTGAAAAATAATCCGAGGATCTTCAAGGATAGATGATATCATGCAGGGCTTGCATTAGATACAGGTCCTATAAGACCTGCTGTTAACGATGTTATATTCCTGTTATTTCTTTTGTGGAAAAGAGTCAGCAGGGCCATCATCGAAAAACAAAAAAATATATGTATCCTAAATTTTCTTTCAAGAAAATATATTACAAGCTAAAATTTGATTTTCTCCATGTATTAGAGATGTGTTGGTGACAAATTTCCAACATGATTAGAGCTCAATTAGAATATTTACCATAATCAACTGACTTAAGGGAGTACATATTGTTTTCCTGATCGATGGAATCTGTGTCATTTTACATTATTTGGTTGATACTTTTTTGAAGCAACCAAAATCATTTGCACCATAACTCAGATCAGTCCTTGTTATTTGTTTGTGGAAAATCACTTAGATCAATAAAAGTTCTAGTAAATTATTATATAGATCAGATTGTGAAATAGAAATTTGGATAAAGTAGCACTCGTGATGGTTATAGAAAATCATATTGTTCTTCTCAACTTTGACTTGGATTTTTACGATATCAGGATAGAAATACAGAGCACAAAGAAGCTGAAGATGACATCGTCAACTTACCCTAGCTTTCTTGGAGTAAAAGGAACATCCAAAAATCAAAATTGACTAACAAGAATCATAACTGTTTGATAGTGATCAGACAATTGGATACTGACAAAAGGATGTCCAGGTTAAAGAAGTAAAAGAGCAGATGCAAACAACTCTAACTCAAAGAACTCAACACAGCACATACTAAACATGAGATGTATCTAAAGATTATAACATATGCAAAACGAGGAAAATTAAGAGAAAATTACCACCTAATTGGTTCCATAACCAAGTTAAGAGAAATTAAGCATCCGAAGAATCATAGTGATCTCAATTTTGTCCCAAGAACTGAAATTTATGACATGGAATTTATAACTTGCATTTTCTGTGACCTATACAAGTGGCATATAGAGAAGTATTTCCATCAATGATGGATAATTAATTAGTAGCACCTTGCTACTTTGATATCATATAGAAGACATTAATTAATATAGCATCTCTGTATATTCATTCAATTTCCAAAGTAAATAGCATGGTGAAGAAAACAACCACAAGAGGATCAACAGAAACAATAATATATTAATCATAACACCACCAAACAGAGTATGACAAGCATAGTAAACAGAGTCTGTAATGGCCATGCCATCTAATATTTCTGATAGGACTAAACCACATAGACAATGTGCACATATCTGACAGCAAATTGATTATTTAATTGACAATTGCAGAGGAACTTGTATACCTCGAGAGGAATACTTTCAGAAGAATGCCCTACTTCCATAGAAAACTTTGGAGCCAATTCCTTTTGGTGTTGTCACCTTCCTCTCACTATCAGGACTACCATTCTCCACACTCGGGCTGCTGCTGGTCTCCATATCCATGGGAAGCTTCATCTTAGCCAATGACTCTGTAAACTCTTGCATGCTTTTCATGTACATATCAACAATATCCTGCTGAACCACTGTCTGCTCTGGCTCAATGTTTATGCTGATGATTGGTCTCATGAATTCAACCTTTGATGGCCCAGATGAATCAGCTTCACCATCTGTGGCCTCTGAGCTCTTATCTTTTCTTCTTGGAGATGCTGTGACTGACAACACATCAGAGATGGATTGAGACGCAACTGGAAGTGTTACAGGAGAATATTCAGCCATGGAAACACTGCTTATGGTAGTGTCATTTTTCAGTGCATTATCAGAATCAAGAGATCCAAGTCTCTTGGCGGATGAGAAGCTTTCCACAAGGCGCACCCCTGCATCATCGTCGACACAGTTGCCACTATCTGAAGTCACCAAGCTCTCTGAACTTTGTGTCTCCATATCAGTGCTCTGTAGCCCGAAGTACTCAGAAACCATCTGTTGATTTTCATTAGCCACCTTCAGGTCGGGGAATTCAATCTTCTCATACTCACAGGGAATTGAGTCGTCAGTTTCTGCATCCGGCAAATTAGCCTCAGTAATCACAGTTTTTGGCACTGACGTGATTGCCATAACATCCGGGGAAGCACCAACGTAAGAGAGCGACAACTGAACGAAGCCCGCAGGAGAATGGAAGAGATCGGTAGATGAGAGGGAGAACTCCTGCACCAACTTGGCTTTAGCTAAGAGGACATCCGAAAGGGGCACCAGCGCGAAACCCAGCAGCTGGTCCTCGAGGTAGTTCTTCACCCTACTAAGCATCCATATCTCACATTTCAGCGATGACTCGATCGTTCGGACACTGAGCCGGAGATTCTCGTTGAAGACCGGATTCCGCCCCCCGCCGTTGATGATCCGGGTGGAGACAGCGACGTCGGGGTCGCTGGTGAGACAGAGCTTGGCATAAACATCTTGCTTATGGTAGATGCAGATGTTGTGAATGTCGCGAGCCTGGTAAATGAAGACCTCGAGAAACCCAATGAACACTTGGGGATCGAATTCGCCGTCGAAAGTGGTGGAGTCCTGGACGACGGCCGCCGATTTCGACTTCCCGGGCTCAGCAGCGGCAGTGGGGGAGTCGGAGGTCGCTGAGAAGAGTTGGTAGGAGTCCATCGATTGAAGCAGTGCCTGCAAGGACACCAGAAGAATTAAGCTGAAGAAGTCAGATCAAGAACTATGATCAGAACTGGAACACGAAGTAAGATTGGAATGTTTGGGAACAGAAACACTAGCAAAATACAGTACAGAAAAATTGAGGATGAAGCTAATATCTCTTCTCGCTCAAGAAATCGAAGCACAAGAGCCAAGACTGCAGTGAGAGAACCGATATACGAATTGAGGATTGCAAGACACTGGGAAAAATAAGAACTTGGCAGTTGGAGTGGTAATAGCGATCTACTCCGAGATCTTCGGAGCAAATCCAACCCAGATGACAAAGCATCGTCAAGCCCTCGGGACCAGATTGTTCTGTACCTCAGAAGAGCCCTTCGAGCCTAAAAAATCCAAACATCACACAGAAATCGAGTCCCAAAATCCAAACTTTGGACGGAGAAGCCCCGAGAAAAGGAGCAAACTTTAGCGCATGTTGAATTCAAGAGGGACCAATCAACAACCAACAATAAAAGCGACCCACAGCACAAACACAAAAACCCCACCTTTAATCGAGAGCGAGCACCAGCACCAGAATCCGAGGCGGAACGGGACGAAAGCGCACCAAAAGGCTTCAAGGGGAACTCAAATCGCGGCGGACTCCCAAGGGGACAAAGGGGCAAAAGGATGACCTCAAAGGCGGAACCAGGTCTTCCTCTTTCTCCCAAAAGTCAGCAAATTTCAATTAGAAACATCAACACATCGAGTCCTTTCTTCAAGCGAATCAGTCGATCTACTCAAGAGGAATGATCCAGAATCAAGATTGTGCTTCCTTGGTGGGGTCTGGGCTCCAAAGGCAAAAAGTCCAAGCTCCAGGTATGCTATCTCCATCATTGAGTAGCAGCTGGCTCTTGTCAATACAATCTAATACAAAATTTCCAAAACAGAAAGGTCAGTGAGGCTGATGGTGGCTAGTGTATTGTGGGGAGTTCGGCATGGGAGAGGCAAAAGCTGCCAAGAATAGTGGGTTGTCATCCATTTGACTTGCAGAATCAATGGTTGGTAGCACTTCATCTGCCTCTCTACGGGGCAAGCTCTGGTATCAAATGGTCTACAGTCAAGTGGGGAGAGGCATATACTACCTAAAGAAAAAGAAGAAGAAAATATCCGAGGGGCAAATGGAATGCAAACCACGTGCATTCACCAACAGGCTTTGTGGTGGATAAGGCCATCCATCGTCTATGGATCGGCCTAAACAACTCTCTTATACCCAACACTTGTCGTTGACTATATGTTGAGTGCATTTTCTCTCTCTCTCTCTCTCTCTCTCTCTCTCTCTCTCTCCAATTGTTTTTACTCGTCAAAACTCCCATTTCATCTGCATTTACTACTCTCCTTTCGCATTGAAATGGAACCGAATATTAATTTCTCTTAGAGAAAAGCTATTTATCGATTGCATACGATAATTTTATCTCCGGCTCGTTGTGGATCGGTCTGATCTGGTTCGATCGATTGGGTTTGATTAGTCCATTTATGCAAATCCCATTTCCCATCTCAATACGATGCGGCATCTGCTCGGAAGGGTGTCTAGGCTTGCGAGTGACAAGGGGAGAGAGGAAGGGTGGCGGTGGGGAGGAGCTTGGAAGGGGGAGAAAGTGAGATCCAGGTGCCCTACCGGTGGATGCAGGACCCCTCACCCTCTACCGGAAGTACCAGGTGCCTTACCTCCTCCGTAGTTAACCCTAGTCCCCTCTCCCCCTTCCCATCTTTCTTTCCCTTTCGGTCATTGTGCTTCTGGGAATTGAATGACTCGTGAAATGAGTTGATGTTGTTGATTTGGTTCATGCTACAGGTGGCCCAATTTCATCTGATGACCTCGTCTTTTGAGGTATTGAAACATTTCCCTTTTGGATAGTTGTTCTTCTGGCAAATTTGCATCTTTGTTCTGTAAGAAATTTTAATGAAGCCAACTTAGTGTTTCTAAATCATTGTAATAGGAACACAATAAACTAATACGAAAATGAAATAGCGTACCTCCAGCCATTGTCGCCAAGAATTTCTGCAGAGGTTTCTTCTTGAACTTTGGTTCTTCTCGGCTCTAAACTCTCAAAGAGATGATTGAGCCAAGGGACCAAAATCCTCATGTATATATAGATGTTCTCTCATCAAGAACATTTATCATCACCAACTCATAACGTTCAAGAATTAATTCAAATTTGTAACGTTTGGACCATAACGAAGAACTTAATGATATTAAATATTTAATTTAATAATAACGGTTTCATGCATAAAGAATAAGAAACTGAAATCATTTAAACCATAATAAATGAAGAAATTCATGATAATGAATTATGAATCTTAATAAGAACGGTTACGTTATTATTAAATAAGATATTTAATAATAATCGTTACATTCTCCCACTTGGTCCATACGTTTATCTTAATAATTTGAATTAATCTTTCTCGAACAACTTTCTTAAGAAATAAATACATGAATCATAGCGATAAGTCCTCTAAGAGCGAGTATTATCATCCATGTATCACGATGTATTTAGTTTCTTAATCTTAATGTGGTAATATTACTTTATGAATAAACCTTATGTTTATTCTTGGTGCAACAACAATATATTTTCTCAAAATAATGTGCACATAAATGAGAAAATTTCACAATATATAAGAGTTTCAATATCATTACAAAGTGGAACTAAGTCCCATTTTCTTTACATGATCCTTGAATTTTAGAGGTGGCATGCCTTTAGTCAAAGGATCAGCAATCATCAATTCAATGCTAATGTGCTCAATGACCACTTTCTTTTCTTTTACACGTTCTCTTATGGCTAAATACTTAATGTCGATGTGTTTATTTCGACTTCCACTTTTATTGTTTTTAGCTATAAAGACAGCAGCTGAATTGTCACAGAAAATTCTTAATGGCCTAGAAATAGAATCCATGATTCTAAGCCCAGAAATGAAACTCTTAAGCCATACACCATATGAAGTAGCCTCAAAGTAGGAGACAAACTCAGCTTCCATGGTAGAAGTAGCAGTCAAGGTCTGCTTAGCGCTTCTCTAAGAAATAGCTCCACCGGCCATCATAAAAATATATCATGATGTTGATTTACGAGAATCAACACAACCGGCGAAGTCTGAATCTGAGTAACCAATCACATCCAGATTGTTTGTATGTCTATACATAAGCATGTAATCTTTGGTTCCTTGTAGATACCTCATCACTTTCTTTGCAGCTCTCCAGTGGTCCATACTTGGATTACTCTGATATCGACCTAGCATCCCCACAATAAATGCAATATCAGGTCTAA